ACATATTTACAACTTTATATATATATATATATATATATATTTTTTTTTTTCACCCAAAAATGAGTTAATTTTCAGCAAATGTGGGAACAATATGTGTCATATGACCAAACATGCATCCGTGTTTTCAATTACCTCCATATCACAGTCCACATCACAATGCGAAAACAGCCTTGTCAAATTTATCTATTTAGAAGAATGTCTTCAGTGTGGCTGGAAACTAACTTATGTGGATGGATTGATGTGGATACAGCCTAAGGTGGAGAAGCATCTGGACATTTTCTGGATGTCAAATGTTAGTGGATGACGTTAGTAGTTAAAGTGATTCTCTACACCTGCGTTTCCTCTGCTAGGACACCTGTGTGAATCTCAGGAGAACTGATTTCATACATGCATTAAAATCACCAAAACACCAGCTGATTCAGTCACGGAGCACAAATGTCTTAGAAAACTGGAATTATCTCTGAGAAAAGCTTGTGCAGCATTTATTTGCACTGAGAACAGAGCACATGATAAAGCTCATGTAATGAGATTCTTAGATCGTATAAAAGATCATTTGAAAACCGCTTTAATGAAATTCTAAAGCAGTATAGATAGCTGATAATATCTGAATATGAAGAAAAGTTGGGTTATGAAACTGTGTTTGGTCGGGTGCGTTTCCCAGAAGAACACACTGCTGTTACTCACACTTTGATTGAACATGTCTGTCTCATGCCGCAGTGTGGTGTACTGATGCAGAAGCTGCTGTATCGTCTCTACCCGCTCCACCTCCAACCTCTCCAACTCCTTCATAGCACAAACACAGACAAATCACACACCTAAGATCAGCCTGCATATTACTATTAGCTGATGGCTCGGACAAAAATAACATTCATTTTCTTCATGGTGAAATTCATTCTTCATAATACAGTATAAACCCAGTATGAGCACAGAGATTAAGCAATGATATATGATACAGAAGTCACAATATTTAATTTCATTTTCAGAATACTGCATTGTGTTTCTAAATTCCCTGTAAAGAACTACACTACCCACAATCCTCCACCAAACTCCACCAATCAGAAAAGATGTTAGCAGAAACCTGTACATAATTTCTGTAAATCAAAACCTTAATTTATATGGTTTTATACTTATAATAAACGACTGTCAGCCAATAGTTTTATAATGATCAGTATATTATAACATTTGCAGTGCATTATGGGATTTGTAGTTCATTGCCTACTCAAATCATTTTTTTTTTCTAAATTTAAATCAAAATATGTGATGAATCATCTTAGACCTGGTTTGCTTAGTTCATGCTTACAACTCTTTATTAAAAAATGTAAATTCTATAAGGAGGAAAAATACAGAACTTGGAATTAGCTTTATTTACTGCTATTATAGTACTTGTAACATTAGTGTGTTTTCCCTATATTGCCGTTGCTGCCGCTTTGTAAAAGCTAAAAGCAACTCAAATTTGTGCATTACAGTTTTATCATGATTAAAAGGTAAATAATAAATAATAATAAAAAGGCTGTTATGGATAATCATCTTAAACTTGAAGTCTTGAGCATTTGAAAATAAACATTGAAAATATATCAGAAACTATGTACGAAAAATCTTTCAAATCCACAAGAATTCATGTCGTTAAATTAAATTCATTTTAGCAATTCTTTCCAAAGTGTACACTGCATACTTCATGCGATCAGATGATCATTCAATATGGTTTTTATATTTAAAAAAAAAAGATTTTTATAAGAAGAAAAAAAAGATTTTTTTTAACACATTTCCTAAATAAAGCTTGTCTTGATAGTGAAACAAGCGATTTTGCTTCTCAACTGAATAAATAAACCTTGTTTTAAAGATATTTGGATATTGGTAAACCGATTTTATTTTAGTTTCATTTAATATTTTCTTATTTAATCAGTGCTTGACTTTACCAGCAGGGGTCAGTCTTAACTCATTTATTACTATTTGTATTCCCTTCTTTAACACAATAATCACAGGTATCATTTAAACTCAAGCTGTTTACCAGGAAAAGCAGTTCCCAAACTGCACTACTGGGCTTTACAATTACATGCAAAATTCACTGTAAACTGAGGCAAAAGGAGGCAGACGTGTGAGAGAAAAAAATATCGACATCTTGGAAGAAAAAAGAAACAGATCGCTCCATCTATATGTAAATGAGATCCAGGCTTTAAAGCCATTTGCATTAGTGATTTGAGCCGTCATGATTATTGAAGGAAAACGGCGTTTGAGCCATGCTTAATGTTCAGCCGTTGATTTATAGCAGGAACTGCGACTTGTTCAGTGCGTGGGTGTTTGAGAAAGAGAGAGACAGATAACATCATACAGGGTTTTTTCTACTGAGCTCAGCTGCAGAGGAAAAAACTGTAAAGCTCTTGGCAGCAGCACAATTAAAAACAATCTCCTGCAGTCAAGCACTGGAAAAGATCTCTGCAAACAAAGAAAATCGAAGCTGACTGAATCTAAACAGCACGATTATCACATGGCTTACTGTAACAGGGGTGATTATAATCAATAACAAATGAGTTCAATAATATAAACTAGGTTTTTACATTGCCTTTTTTCATTTGTGCTAGAGTGTTGTGGCTGGCTGCCGGCGTGTTGCTTTGCATTGCTATGCATTGCTAATGTTTCTGGGTGGTTAATAGGATGTTGCGTGCTGGTTGAAAAAAAAAGTCTCTATAATATTCTGGTCTTTAGCAGGTTTAGTGTAAGTCTAAAGCGAGGTTTTGCAGACCCCTAAATATAATCATCCCCTTGCAAGAGACACCCTTCCTAACATCTAAAGGCAATTACACATTTTCATGTATAAAGCCCCATTCATACAGTGTGAGACAATATAAATGAGACCACTTTGCATTATTAACTAATTACTAACTACGACTTTGATAAACTCCTAATTTGCTGCTTATTATTAGTAAGGTAGTTGTTTAGTTTATGGGGTCAGGTTAAGAGATCTAAAATATGGTCAAGCAGAATAAGACATTAACATGTGCTTTATAAGTACTAATAATCAACCAATATGCTAGTAATGTGCATGCTAATAAGCAACTAGTTAATAGTGAGAAATAAAATTACTGCCCTGATTGCATATTTTAACTGCACTGGACCCAAAACAAATTATTAAAATATTCTGGGAAACATTTATTTTTTTGTTAGTTGACATTTTTGTTACCTGCTATTTATTTGTCTATATTTTACAACCCTCAAAAAGCAAGGTAAGAGTGACAACGCGGTGGGGAATTGCATATAAATATAAATAATTTATTAGTTAATGTGAACTTTTTTTTCTCTCTTTACTGTTCAGTGATTTGGTTTTATTTCTTACTCTCTTGGGGGGAAAAAAAGAAAAAAAAAAAATATAAAATTGACAAATTTGTTACATTTTTTGTATTAACATATTTAATAAATATAAAAAGTTAACTAAACTCTGACATACCTAAAAACTCAAAGTGCAATCAATCAATCAATCAATCAATAATATTTCTCACTTGCGAAAAAAAATATATAAAATTGACAAATTTGTTACATTTTTGTATTAACATATTTAATAAATATAAAAAGTTAACTAAACTCTGACATACCTAAAAACTCAAAGTGCAATCAATCAATCAATCAATCAATCAATAATATTTCTCACTTGCGGATTTGAAAACCCCTCATGTAAAAGATCTGTCACATATTCTATTGTCTGCCAGAGACAATTAAAAAAAAAAAAAACTTATTAAAAGATTACATTTTATTTGTTTACCAGCATGTCATGTGACCACTAACCGGCTTTAACGATCCATGAACATGCAAATGTGTTGTTAAATTATTGAAGAATTAAGATTAATTCTCAACAGGACTTCATGTAAATATTTGACATCAAAGGGGTTCAGTTATTTTTAAAAAAAAGTTTGGGTATTTACATGGTATTCCAAAGTACTTAAAGGGGTCATATGATGCTGCTAAAAAGGACATTATTTTGTGTATTTGGTGTAATGAAATGTGTTTATGCGGTTTAAAGTTAAAAAAACACATTATTTTCCACATACTGTACATTATTGTATGACCCCTTTAATACTTGGAATACCTAACCCAAACTCGAAAACAATGAAAATACCATGTACTAACCTCTTTAAATACACTACAAGACATGTTATTATCAAGGCACTTTCTGTTACTTTGAAGTGAATGCATTGTTATGCATATCACATTAATGTTGTGGTTTGGGAAGTTGAATAGTGAAGCAGGAACTTCTCTCACAGTGCTGTTATAGTCTGAAGCACTCAGTGTTGTGGCTGTGCGTGAGTCTGTCATGGTCATTTGGTCCTCTGTGCTGATGGAGTCAGTCTATAAGCACTGAATAAGACACCATTAGGGTCCTCAATAATGCACCAGTCACTCAGGCCAACAGGTTGAAGGTGGAGTGAATTCTCCCCCGTGACGCGTCGCACCGTGTGAACCTCAGGGTTGCCAGGTCTTCCTGCATTAGGGATGTGTGAGTGTCCAGCTCAGGACAAATCTGGCATTGATAGAAGGCGTCCGGAGCAATAAGAGGCTTAGCATGCTGATCGTCAGCTCCCATGAGGCCCATTTTCCCACTGCAAAAATAGACCATTACTCCATGCCTTTCCCAACTCCATCTGGAACCAATACGGCCTGGCTCCTCTTAAACACAGACTCCTGGGATTGAGCCAAAGTCCTCTTCCATCCTGTTTGTCATGCCTCTCTCCCCTCGCTCAGAAACACAGTCTCATCTCCACAGTCTCCGCACGCTACAACAATGGCGCCCCGCACAAGATTTCACCTAAAAAGGAAGCTCCTTACTCAACACAAAAAGGACTGATGCCAGATTACGGAGGGTTTGTTTCATTTGCAATCCATCCTGAGTGGAAGAGAAGGACTGGAAGTTTTTAAAACGAGAGACTATTGAGGAAGTCAATCCTGTTGAGCAGTGGAGCAGCCAGGAGTTTGTCTGCCAGTGCAGTCTGTTACAGTGTTATGACAGCTGGCAAACTGGCTGTGACTTGAGGATTCTGATAGTCGGAGCTTTTTAATGAACTTAACCCTATAAAGCCTTTTTTGTCATATTTGATACGCAAATTTCTAAGGCCTCTCTTTGTCAACATGATCAAAACTTTGCAGAAAAATCTGTTGTACACAATTTTCATGCTTTCCGTCATTTTTTTAGCAAGTAAAAGCCCTTTTAGTATAATTGTAAAAATGCCGAACCTTCAGGTTGTGGCTCACCTGTCTTGTTGCTGTGATTTTGTTTTACAGATTTTTATGAAGTAAACATAATAATAACTTTTATATTGTTATTAATATTTCAATTAGTTAGTCTTGACTGAAGGAACTTAGATTTACTTGATTATCCATATATATATATATATATATATATATATATATTTTTTTTTAAGAAAATTTG